ATGTCACCACTGGTAGGGTTTTGAGGATGCTCGGGTCCAGGCCGCGGCTCAAGGCGGTTCCGGTGGTGAAGTTGAAGCGTCGGCGAACGGTGGCTGAGGTGGCGGTCGTGGTTTCCCGGCGGCGGTGCCAGAACCATTTGGCATAGAGACGGACGGCGAAGATGAAAACAACGACGAATAAGAGGAGAACAATTGAGACCACCATTATTTTGCCCGTGAACTCGATTGTACTACCGTCGCCCAGATTGCCGCTCACTTCTGTTGAGTCCCCCATTTTTTTTCCTCGTTCTTTAGTAGTTACTTACTGAAAATCTGAATCAAGACGGGATTTCTTGAATGAGGAAGAACAAAATTGCAACCTTGACGGGATGGGCAAACGTTGTTGAAGGAAAAAAAACCCAACAAAATTGGAATTCAATAGCAAAATTTGAGGATTTCACTTCGGGAGTCCCAAGACTCTGTAAGAAATTTCTTTAAAATTTTGTGAAACTTGGAATTATAAGAGAATTAAAGGAGAAATCTACTACTCGAAGAAATTACCTGGAGATTTTCTGCAACTCCCAAGAAAATTTTGCTTTGTCGAACCAACGCATAAGAAAGAAGATGAGTTTGAGTTTGAATATCCAGCAAAAGTTCGGATCTTTAAGGAAAATTCTCGGTGATACATATATAAGGATAAATTGAAAGCAAGAAAAAGGAAGACCGGGCCGGCCGTCTACTTGAAAACGTGACCTTAAAATTGGGAAAAGTAGCCCGCCGTCAGCGCAGACCGGAAGTTTCAACTTTCACGGGAGAATGGGAGTTAGACGGCGGCCTATTGACTGGGAACCAAGTTAGGAAAATGGAGGAATGAAAATCAAATCAAATTGAATTATAATTCCATTGGAGGCTTTTTTCCAATTGACACGTGTCGTGGAGTTTAGGCAGAGGGGGCAACCAACTTGGACTTTTCGGATTTTGTTTTAATTTTGATTTTGATGACTATTGATTTTGTCGTGCTGTATAGATGTGGTTTTTCTTTTTCATTTTTTTTTTTATCGGCATTGAGACGTGGTCTTTCTATCATTCTATGTTTCTTTTAGAATGGTGGGGTGTGGTTGAACGCAACAAAAGTGCTTCAAATTTGTGGAGTTCAATTAGGGGTGTTTAAGGTCCGGATTGGTCCAGTTTTAACCCAAATCATGATCGAACTAGACTTAACGGTTAATTTTTTTTTTTGTCGATAATCGGATCGGTTTTATTTTTTAACCGGCCACAATCCAGACCGCATTGGACGGTCCGGTTTGACGGTTAACCGATTAAATTCAAAATCTTTATTATTTCTTATTCTAAGATAAACCCTGCTTTCTTATTATTTAAAAATAAGGACAGAAATCTTTCCTCTGATGGAAAAAAAACGTTCCGGGACTTGCTATCTGGTCAACAAGTCCTTTCATTTTGGCTTCTGTAGTTGACATAAAACTATCTTTTTCCATCTCTTCTAGAACATTATAGAAGGATAGACTCGTGTTTTGTGCATATAATGATATAATCTCTATAAATAGACGTTCTATTTAAGTCGCATCGATAATTACATGAATCAAACCCATGTTTGAATTGAGATACTGATGCAAGTTCTTCCCTTCTGAATCAGATAGATTCATATCTTAATGACAATAAAATCTT